GGAGTGTCGGGGAGAAGAGGAGAGCACCGGAGGGGGCAGGGATGGGGGTGGTAGTTGCTAGACTACAGATCACACCGTCTTCCCCATGGCATTAATGAGCATTTAATGTTCTTGGTGCTGGGGTGGGGTTCAGGCGCTGCAAGGGTATTTCCAGCCTGGAGTTCACCTTACTTACAGGTCTGGTCCCTCCCCCAGCATGTGACTGGGCAGCCAAAGGAGAAGCAGCAGACCGATGAGGTTATCTCTCTGTCACTCTGCTCACTCTTCCTATCAGCGTGCTTATAGCTGATGGGCCCCTTGCACTACTTTTCCTATCTCTCCAAGCCTGAGCTCTGCTGCACAGGGCTCAGATTCAAGGACTTGGACGTAATGATGACAGAAAGTGTTCATATTGGGAACGCCAAATGTAAAATGTGCGACGGGCTTCAAACTCGGCAGATAGTTGTCACCTTGAACTGAGTTATCGCACCGGAGTTTCTTTGACATGTCGGGTGATGTGCTGGAAACGTGATGTCACAGATGAGCTCCGGACACGAAAACTTCCAGCAAAAGAAATAATAAATACAAAGTCTAGAAATCCAAAATAGAATCTATGATTTAATAAAAAGTATATAATTCCGCTTTGCGTGCACCAAATACCTTTGCAAAGCCAATTATTACCTAGCAGTGACATCACCGCTGAGCTGTGCCAAGCCTGTGCAGAGAGCAGAGCTGTGGGAGGGGCCCAGCAGACCCCGCCCACTAGAGGAGGGGGTGGATACGAGACTAAACGAAATACACTGAGTGGCCGGATTATTATATACACTGAGTGGCCGGATTATTATGCACACTGAGTGGCCGGATTATTATGCACACTGAGTGGCCGGATTATTATATACACTGAGTGGCCGGATTATTATATACACTGAGTGGCCGGATTATTATGACCACCTGACGTTTGTAGGCAAATGAGCTATAATTTGGCGCTGAAGTTGCTAGAGGGCCAGACCATTATAATTAGGGAAGCGGGTTGGTTACCACGACAGTAGAAGTGATTTGTTTCTGAAGATTCGGGGAAACAACGCGATGTAACAGCCTTTGAACGCGGGACGATTGTTGGCGCTCGGAGCCATGGAGCGAGTATCAGCAAAACAGCAGAATTCGTTAAATGTTCAAGAGCGGCTCATTGTTAAAGTGTTTAAAGACCGGACTGTCAGCCGAAAATCTGGGTCTGAACGTGGGAATTGTGGCCGTCAGCGACTAGTCAATGTTAGGGCAGAACGGGGGAGGGGCAATACTGGTACAAGACAACAGAAGGACAACAATGCCGTGTCAGATTCCTCGCATCACCTTTCATCATCTCGTGGAGTCATCAGGCGGCCCAAAGAAGTACTGATGGGGGGGTCATAATAATCTGGCCACTCAGTGTATATAGACACCGGCACTCCGATAGCAAGTCTGTTTATTGACGCATGAACAGCATAACGTGATACACTCAATGCAACGTTTTCGGGGTCTCGCAGGATCCCCTTCATCAGGCAGAACAAGTGGATACAAGACCAGTCGCCCTGCACAAGGAGAGGGAGCAGCAGTGACCTGTCTTTATTACCGGAAGCTCCACCCACTACCAGATTGGGCAGAGACAAGACCAGTCACCCTATACAAGGAGAGAGAGCAGCAGTGACTGGTCTTTATTATAGGAAGCTCCACCCACTAAAGGAGGGGGCGGAGATGAGACCAATCACCCTGCACAAGGACCGAGAGCAGCAGTGACCGGTCTTTATTATAGGAAGCTCCACCCACTAAAGGGGGCGGAGATGAGACCAATCACCCTGCACAAGGACAGAGAACAGCAGTGAGCGGTCTTTATTACAGGAAGTCTCACGCTGGATTACTGCGCAGATCTGGAAGAAATACACAAAGCTCACTAAGACTGAAGGAAGAATACACAGGACTCTTGTATGAGGACAATGTTGGCTGGTCCCGGAGTTCCCCTTTATCTGTAATTACAGCAGATGGTTTCAATCTTTTATAAATCTGCAGCTTATATGAAAGTAATCCCTGTTGATCCTGCCATGTTCAGGCACTTCCTGTTATAAGGTGACAACGCTCTGTCACTCTCCCAATTGGCTCCTTCATTGTCGCACTGGCTTCCAATGGAGACTATAAGTAGGTGTTTGACTAGTCATCAACCAACAGGAAACCCGCCGTGAGAAATGTCACGCAGCCGTCGCTGGGAGCGCATGTAGACAGGAAGTGGCTGCAGGAGACCAGCAACCCCCGAGAGAGAACAAGGGATGAAAAAAAAAAAAGTATTACATTTGAAAAGAACGGCAATTGTTGATGACACGCTGAGCTTTAGCGACCTGCCATTCATTTAGGGTTTCCATCTACTGTAAAGGAATCATTTCCTGAAAGAGACGCGGAGGATTCCATTGCTACATGGTTCATTCTGCAAGCCGGCTGCCAGTCTGTGTGTTTCAGGCACTGGGAGCCGAAGGGGAGGGGCAGATGAGTGACGCTAGAAAGCTGCAATGGGAAATAACAATGTCACGTGCGGTGCGCCGTCGGTGCAAATCACAATACCGGCTGAAGAGAATTTTAGAAATGTTGTCATTTGAAGCCGGTCACATGTGTTTCTATCGGCTGTTATTGTTGGCAGGTTTTTTTTATTTTTTAATGATCCCTGACCTCATTTATATTCGGGAAACCCCTCCCCACCTCCCCAGTGCAGCCAATCACTGATGAACACAATAGTGTTTATAACTTTATCACTATCTGTCTGTAAACAACCTCTGACCACTTCCTCCGAAGAGAGAGGAAAGGTGCAACAGAGAGACGTGTGATTTTTTTTTTTTTTTTTCTCTATGTTTAAAAAGACAGAGCAAAAAAAAGTGACCCCCAAAAAACGATGATCGGGGCCCCCTGCACGCGGCCGCGCTCATTAGGGTGCCCTGGGGCCGAAAAACACACGACTTCATTTATCCCAATCCGCCGCAGTGCCGGTGTCCTTCCTGGGCAGAGATATTCTCCTTCACGTCATGACTGATACTTTGTAACTCTTGAAGTTGTTACTTTGTTTTTTGGTTGTCCACCAATCCCGGATGAGATCCGCTGCGGGTAGGAGGAGCTATACGATCACAGCTGTCATCGCGCACAGCCCTTCGCATTTACCCATTACAACTTGTTTTTGGAAATTTTGGGGAATTTTCTGCATTTTTGTGAACTTTGAATTATTATTTATCAGTTGATTCATTGGCGGTGATTATAACAGCAAGAAAGAAGATGTGATATGTGAGATGTCACCAAGAGTCTCTTGTGACTTGTCTGAGGGTCTGGTCTGAACGCTGGCAGTCTGAGGGTCTGGTCTGAACGCTGGCAGTCTGAGGGTCTGGTCTGAACGCTGGCAGTCTGAGGGTCTGGTCTGAACGCTGGCAGTCTGAGGGTCTGGTCTGAACGCTGGCAGTCTGAGGGTCTGGTCTGAACGCTGGCAGTCTGAGGGTCTGACATGTAATCTGAGAGTAAGATCTTATCGTTGGTTGTCTGAGGGTCTGGTCTGAACGCTGGCAGTCTGAGGGTCTGGTCTGAACGCTGGCAGTCTGAGGGTCTGGTCTGAACGCTGTTGGTCTCGTACGAATGCTGGCAGTCTCATATAAACGCTGGTGGTCTCCTGGCCACTTTGTGTGAGCACACGGGTGGCCTTTCTC